GGCCCTGTATGTATGCATGTGAGATAAGGACCTTAGATTGTAAGCTCCTTGAGGACAGGGACTGATGTGATTGATTGCGCACCTATGTAAAGCGCTGTGTAAAATTGTCGGCGCAATATAAATACTTGTAATAAATAAATGACATACATTGGGGTGAATAAAAAAAAAAAAAGTAGTGCTACTTTTTGTACGGCAATGCACAGTATTGGTACTGCAGAGCAATGCACGGCTGCAGGGAGGTGCGTTGGGGTTGCCATTCAATTGAATGGCAACACGATGCATATAGTGCACAAGACCGCACGCTAGGTGCATGCAACAGTATTGTGCGATTAACGCAATGCTATAGTGTAAAAAGGCCCTAAAAGCACTGAACATCATAAACAATTGCCTGTTTCTAAATAAATTATTTGTTTTTACCCTTTTTCATCTTGTGTTACATCTCAACACTGCTGATCTCCTGCAGCCACTTCCTGTCTACATACACACCAGTGATGGCTGCATGGCAGTTCTCAGGGTGGGTTTCCTGATGGTGACAACCACAATCCTATTGTAGAAACAGGGACTGTATAACAGGAAGCCCCTGAACAAGCACATCATGGTAGTATAAACAGATATTATATATCACTGAAAGCTGAAGTTTTAAAAGTAGTCAAAAGACTCATAAAATTATATTTACATGTTCTAGTGCCTGGAATTTTAGTAAGAATAATGGTCCAATGTTACTTTAGATGTGACCTCTTATATGCTTGCTGAATGAATGGAGATTCTTGCACTGCAGGTCCTCAGGTATAGCTTCCCCGCCAGCAAGGAGAGCAGTAAGCAACACAGCAGTGAAGGGAAGCACAGATCCACAGAATGGATGAACAAGAAGCAGGGAGATCCTTGCACTGCAGGTCCTCAGGTACAGTTTCCTCTCCTGCAAGGAGAACAGCAAGCAACACAGCAGTGAAGGGAAGCAGGGAGATCCTTGCACTGCAGGTCCTCAGGTACAGCTTCTTCTCCAGCAAGGAGAGCAGCAAGCAACACAGCATTGAAGGGAAGCACAGATCCACAGAATGGATGAAGCAGAAGCAGGGAGATCCTTGCACTGCAGGTCCTCAGGTACAGTTTCCTCTCCAGCAAGCAGCACAGGAGTGTCATCACCAAATCTCACTCCAAATCTGGAGGGACCTAGCACTGAGAGATCTCAGACAGCAGATATACAGCTATGAAGCTATGAGCACAGGAGTGCCTAGCACACTCACACCAGGAAGTGCACTGCTATTTTTCAGGAGGAATTTAAGACCATGGGTAGCTTTTTTTGGGGTACTGCTTGGGCAAAATTAACATTTCAAAATGTTCCCTAGAACATCTTCACATCTATAAAATCTTCACTTTGTTCAGGTCCACTTAAA